GGTCTAAAAAGATTTTTTGATAAGGAATTAATTATCTGCAAATAATATGCCATTTTTGAGTGTCTGTGCTGTTCTAGTGACTGGTGGAGTAATCATGTAATAATTACTTATGACTAGATTTTGTATATAATTTTCCATATTGAAGTGGGCATGTTGAGAGCAATTTGAAAGAAGAAATATAAAATATGATGAAAATACATTTTTGTGTTTATTTGATTCCTTTCAAGACACTTAAGATAAGATAAGAACAAGATAAGAATAACTATAGTGTTACTATAGGCGGCTACAGATTTGTTTAACATTTTTGGTTGGTGGTGTCCCTCGTGATTATTTCAATGAAAAAATGTACCTTGGCTCAAAAAAGGTTGAAAAACACTGCACTAGCGTGCCGAGGCACAGTGGTAGAAAAACACTGACATAAACTGTAAAGTCAGTGTAGTTCTCTAAATGTGTTAACATCTGGATCTGCATTATGTCTAATATTTCGTATAGTTTGAGGTCACATAAACCGTTCACGGACCTTGGAGGCGTCCTGGATGGCTTTGTGGAGGTTCCTGAGCTTTAGGTGGCAGGCGGCCCTGTTGGAGAACAGAGCTGGGAGCTGTGGGTTGAGTCTTAAGGCCAAACTGTAGGCGTTCACCGCCCCCTGGAAGTCCCCCGTCCCAAAGCACCTGCTGTGGGGAAACGGTGCGTTCAGGGACTGCATTAAAATGTGTTTCTCCTTGTGGGATTAATGGATTACTTTGAATGTTTTCGTGTTTTTAAATACGAGATGATGCAATTAAATGTTGAAATGCTTGAACAATAAGATCTTGAAATTGTACAACTTGTGAAACAGATGATTTCTCCTTGTGGGATTAATGGATTACTTTGAATGAATAAATTAAATGCATTAATGTTTTCGTGTTAAATCTTGAAATGCTCGAACATAATCATTATTGTTGTTTATTACGTTTATTTGTTGTGTTGTTGCTGCTGCATTAAAATGTGTTTCTCCTTGTGGGATTAATGGATTACTTTGAATGAATAATGATAATAAATGCATTAATGTTTTCGTGTTAAATCTTGAAATGCTCGAACATAATCATTATTGTTGTTTATTACGTTCATTTGTTGTGTTGTTGCTGCTGCATTAAAATGTGTTTCTCCTTGTGGGATTATGTTTTCCTGTTTTTAAATACGAGCTGATGAAATTAAATCTTGAAATGCTTGAACAATAAGATCTTGAAATTGTACAATTTGTGAAACAGATGATTTCTCCTTGTGGGATTAATGGATTACTTTGAATGAATAAATTAAATGTATTGATGTTTTCCTGTTTTTAAATACGAGATGATGAAATTAAATGTTGAAATGCTTGAACAGTAAGCTTTTCATTTGTACAACTTGTGAAACAGATTGATTTTGGATGTTTATTCCGTTTGTCTCTAAGGTGTAACAAATAGTTTGTTCAGCATGTTAAAAAAAACAATCGTTTTTCTGTGAGTCTAGTTGGCTAAAATGGATTAAATAAATCCTCCAGCAGGAGCTGGAGCTGAGGAATAGATGTGAAATCACTCACTCTCCTTTGTCCTTCAGCCAGTCGGGGTTCCTCTCCTCCTCCCGCAGGTCCTGCAGCTCCTCTGCAGCAGAAATAACGGATCGCCTCGCCTCCGCCTGCTTTCTGAGCCACTGGTCGCACAAAAACATCACCCCGAGATGATTTAATAGATTTGATAAAAAGCAAGAAGTGGAAACATGAGTTCAGGAGCTGAAACAGCGCTGATTTCAGAGAAAAAACAGACTCTGTTTAACCTGAGAGGACAAAATGAGGCTTAAAGTGTCTCACTGCTCAGTTTGATGAAGAATCATCTTTTGCAGGGCAAACCTGCAAAATCAGCAAGGGCTGAAATACTTATTTCCCCCACTGTATATTAGCCTATATAACATATTTGATAAAAGTTAAAGAATGTAAAATGGTGGTGAAAATGAGGGAAAGGCTGACCTCCTCCTCCTCAGGCAGGCGGGACTCCCTCAGGGCTGTAGGGAAGACTCGGGGGGTGAACGAGATCTGGATGTTCCCGCCGGGCCTCGGAGGAGGAGGCTGGGCCTGTTTTATCTGACCTAGACCCAAAGGGGGAATCATCAGGATCCACCAGAGTGAGCAGGTCACATCAACAGGAAGTTACACACACTAGGGTTTTTCATGATACTAACATGTTCAACTCAATACCGATACTCAGGAAAATACTCGATACTCGATACCAGTTTGGATACCACAAGGATAAAAACAAAATAAAGACCCCAAAATTGAACTGAATTTTGACAGGTTAGTGTCAAACTGACCTGTTACTGATGTTATGGTGGCCCACATTAATGACCCTAACCCTAACCTTAACCCTGAGCCTAAACCTAACCCTAACCTTAAACCTAACCCTAACCCTGACCCTAACCCTGACCCTAACCCTGACCCTAACCCTGACACAAACCTAACCCTAACCCTGACCCCAACCCTGACCCTAACCCTAACCCTGACACAAACCTAACCCCAACCCTGACCCTGACCCTAACCCTAACCCTAACCCTAACCCAAATCCTAACCCTAACCCTGACCCTAACCCTGAGCCTAAACCTAACCCTAACCTTAAACCTAACCCTAACCCTGACCCTAACCCTGACCCTAACCCTGACCCTAACCCTGACACAAACCTAACCCTAACCCTGACCCCAACCCTGACCCTAACCCTAACCCTAACTCTGACCCTAACCCTAACCCTAACCCTGACCTTAACCCTAACCCTAACCCTAACCCTAATCCTAACCCTCCACCTTTCATAATTGTGAGAAATAATATTTTTTGGTTAAAGTTGTTCGGACTTATTGTACAAACCTATTTAACATCCACTATTTTAACATAATATTATGTATATAGTTGAATTCAGTGTTTGCCAGATTAATTTCACTATTCTTATATTAATGTTTATATTACCATGAAGCAATTAGGATTTTCTTGCCTGGGATCTTCCTATTGGTGACCTAATCAAAATGGCCGACTTGGATGTGGGGGAGTTGGACATCCATCCTTGGCTTGATTAATGTTGGTGTGTTGTTAAAAGCCATTAGCCGCAGCTAGCAATTCAAAGCTAACGTCACGTTAATGATCATAAACAACGTAAATAAATAAATCAGAGAGAGGAGGGGCGGGTATCAATACTTTTGAAAATGAGTATCGTATCCGGATACAACGTTTTAGTATCGATACTTTTTGGAGTATGGATACTTTTGACAACCCTAATCAACAGGAAGTTACAGGAGCGTTTTCCGTTGCAGCTCCAAAACTTTGTAGTGGATTGCCACTGCACATTAGACAGGCCCCCTCTCTGTCTCATTTTAAAACCCACCTCTTTTCTTTGGCTTTTGACAACATGTAGAGCGTTGATTTTATGTATATACATGCATATTTTTACCCTGTGCGTGCAGTGCTTTTATCTATTTTTATTTTACTTTTATTTTTTACCGTGTACCTCATCTTTTCTTGCTGTACTTCTATTGTGTTATCTATTTATTCTGTATATCTTTTTGTGCAGCACTTTGGAAACCTTGTGTTTGATGAAATCGTGCTATATCAGTGCTTCTCAAATAGTGGGGCGCGCCCCCGAAGGGGGGGAGAGACAAAGATAATGAGACAAAAGAAAGTGAACCGAATGCTAAGTGTTTTATATATTGTGCTCCTGAGTTAATGTTGCTTAACTAAATATAAATTAGTTATTATTTTTGTTGTTTTTGTAGTTTATTGGTTATTATAATTATTAAATATTATTTATTGATTTGATTTAATTTTGCAATGGTGCAATTAGTTGGTCAAACATGTTTACAGTTTAAACAAGGGTTTATTTATTTTTAATTTCAGGCATTGATGCACTTAAAATTTTTTCTGTTGCATACCTAAAACACGATTTAATAAAGTTATTCTTTGTAAGTTTGACCATATGTCTTCCTTTTTTCCTTTTCTTTAATATTAATAAGGAAAAAATATCATGTAGAGATGTATAGTCACGGTGGGGAGTGGGGAGCGCGAATAGTTTTCTTCTTGATAGGGGAGGCGTAACAGAAAATAATAGAGAAGCACTGTGCTATATAAATAAAGTGGATTGGATTGGATACTCACCCCGTTTGACGGGGGTCCGTCCCTCTTCCCTGCTCCCTGCTCTGCCTCCCTGGGGGGGCGGGCGGATGCCTCTGGGCTGGTTTTCTGCCTCTGCTTCCTGCTTCTGCCTCAGCTGCCATGCTGCCAGCTCCGTGGTGGTTTTCTCCCGCTCTGCATCCTTCATCTGTTGGATTCTGTCTCTTCCCTCTTTTTCAAGCTGATAAGAGCCAAACAAATGGGTTTGCTTCTCCTGGAATGGTTTGTTTAACACATTCTGGGTGATGTGAGCTGTAGCGTTACCTTCATCATTGTTTTCAGAGCGTATTTTTTCTCTGCTTGCTGTTTCTCCGCTTTTTGTTTGGACTGTGAGGAAAGCTTCTGCTGATGTTTCTCCAGAGCTTTTTCTCTGATCTCCTTCTTTTTTGCTTTATCATCTGAAAAACAAATTAAATTTCACTTGTTCAACTCGGAGTCTTTAGGGCTCAGGACACTTCCAAAGGCAATAAATGGAATTATCCCTCACTTGTGCTTAGCACCAAATTGTCCCACAGTCTGCTGGTTTTCTTAGGCAAACTGAATACTGCGACTCCGTTTCCAACCTTTGCTGTGCTCCTGTCATCGTCAACGGGTTCAAACAGGAAGGCCTCAAACAGAAAAGGTGGGAAATTAACCTGCATGGAATATAAGAAACATGAAAATTGTGATAGGACCTAATGGAAAACACCAAAGGCAAAAAAAAGAGATACCAGCAGAGATATTTTTCTGAAATATATCTAATCATTTGACCTTTAAATTCAAAGTAAAAGAATATCAAATATCAGCAACTTATGACAATAAGCAACTCAAGGGACGAGCCAGTGTTGTGTCTGCAGTTTAAAGTGGATCTTTAGGCTCTTTGTTACCAGCAACCTGTCACAAAGACTCGTCATTCTTCCACTTTTATTTAGCTGATGTGTCAAAATGCCAAAGCTAACACAGAAAAATGATTTTTGAAGCAACGGTGTGATTCCCAAACGGCTGAAAACTTTCTCCAAATTGTTCCTATTTCCGGAAACAAAGATGGCGGCCTTTCCGCTAACGGAAGAAACAGCGATATTGATGGTGTCATTTTCATCAACTCTGAGGACAATTCTCTCATTCACTTTGCTTTATATGCGTCAGTGGCTCTTTTAATTATTTTCACAGCGTTGAAAATCATTTTAAACCGTAAGAATGAACTATTTTCTCAAGTTTAAAAGTAATAACAAAACGTTAACCATGAAACCGGAAGTGACGGCTACCTTCCACAGCGCATGCGTCTGCGTTGTGAGTGCCCCTTTAAAACCGCGAAAACGCGAGCTACGCTCTGCTTTGCTGACGTCACCTTCAGGTACTCGTCCGTTGAGACGATGTCCACTTGGCCCGGTTTGGCCCCCTTCAGCGGCACGGTGATGTGGACCGCGGAGTCCGTTTGGGTCCACGTGTAGTCGGTCACGTGCAGCGGCATGTCGACCTGGTTTGACGTGCTCGTTCTGGTAATTTATGTTGATTTTCCCCCTCAGATTGAAAACTCCTGCGACTCAAAACGACGAACGGACGGAGTCTACAGAAGAGAGGCGTCCTGTTGCTATGGTAACCACAAACCCGGTGCTGCCTTCATGTCCGTCGGAACCTTAAGTTTGTTTACTTTTTTATGTGGTACACTGCCGAAAAAAGTTAAATATGGATATTATGTATTTTATTTGGTATTTTTCAAATATTTTTTAACTGTTTTAAGTCAAACTTTTTGAAGCGGACAAATGTATTATGTCTTATTAATAATTATTGTTGTTTATTACGTTTATTTCTTGTGTTGTTGCTGCAGCATTAAAATGTATTTCTCCTTGTGGGATTAATGGATTACTTTGAATGAATAAATTAAATGTATTAATGTTTTCCTGTTTCTAAATACGAGATGATGAAATTAATTATTGAAATGCTTGAACAGTAAACTCTGCAATTGTACAACTTGTGAATCAGATTGATTTTGGATGTTTATTCCGTTTATCTCTAAGGTGTAAACAAAATATAACAAATAGATGCAGAAATGGCATGTTTAGGTAAGTTAAAACTGTTTTATAAAGCATTAAAGCAGCTAAACAGTGGATCCAGTCCACTACATTCCTCATTAAAGTGCTGAGTCAGACTAACAGCCTCATCGAGGGTCAAACCACACAGTTTCTTCTGATGGAGGCTTCAGACTTGTTGAATTAAAATGCCCACTAGAGGGAGCTATTCTCTTCCTTGTTTTAGTTGTTAGAGCTGGTGTTCTGTGTTTTAAAATTTAAAGCTAAAGCTGAGCCATCCATGGGAAATCTTTTGATCAGAATTAAACGAGTAAATAATACACTGATATGTCAACGGAGTAAATAAATAAAGGGGAGAATAAAGGATTTAAAATATATCCTAACTTTTCTTTAAAAGATCCAGGCTAAAGGAAATTATTCTGGGTTTTGGGAGATATGCTGTAGGTTTCCAGAATGGTTAACACTTCTATATAAGTGATGTCATTAGGAAGCAATCGTGAGTATTTGTGAATACATCTGCAGATAAAAGAAAACAGGCATTATTCATGATGCTGCAGAAGGAGAGAGCCTGCCACATGTCCTGATGCTGACTGACATCAGTGAGGCGTTTCATGAAATATGAAGGAGTGCAGCAGAGGAGTGGATGCTGCTCCACATGTGTGTGTCTGTGTGTGTTTGTTGTGTGTGTGTGTGTGTGTGTGTGTGTGTCTGTGTGTGTGTGTGTCTGTGTGTGTGTCCTCTTGGATTCGGGCTGTGTAGAAACATGCCTTCAAACCTGAGCAGAATTTGATCTCTGGAGGTTTAGGTACTTTTTTGTAACCCTCCAGGCCCAGTTTGTTCAGCATGTTAAAAAAAAACAATTGTTTTTCTGTGAGTCTAGCTAGCTAAACTGGATTAGAAAATATTTAAACGAGTGTTTCTGACCAGATCTGCTCATTCTACTTGAGGAGCTGCTGTTTTTCTCTCCTTTATAGACAAAAAAAGAGGCGTTAACCCCTCTCTCTGCTATAAGATGACCCCCTTCCATGTAGTTTAGAGCTGAGGAGTCCTTTAGGACGAGAGGAGAAACGTCTAGTGGTCCAAATAGAAAGAGGAAGTCGAGCTTTCTTTACTCAGACTCCAGCATCCCCACCAGCCATTTTCCTCTCTCTGGGTCTGGCCTTCATGTCGAGGAACTGTGAGATTTAACAACCACACTGCAAATTTTTTGTCTTCTTAACAGGATTTATAATCTCATACCAGGACATTTAAGATGGGTTATCTTGTTTCAAGTGTTATTTACTAGTTTCTAAACGTTGGGTCCAGTGTATATTGTTAAATTTAGTATGATATTGTCTTCCGTATCTTACTTAGGATATGGAACTCTTAAATGAACCCATACAAAGATGTATGATGTGGGATAAAGGCCTAGTTTTAAGGTAACTGTGGCTTTGGGCATCTGGTTTCAAGATAGGATCGCTTGTTTCTATTCCTCATGCTATCCAAGAATTAAGCACTTTACACTTAAACTTGTGAAATATTTTCTTGTTTCTTTGCAATGAGTTAAACTAAAATCAGGATTGCCAAAACTAGATAAGTATTGTTTGCACTTTTAAAGTATATTATGTTTGTTAATGTGCTCTAGCAAATCTTATTTCAAGTTTATTCATCTTGAAATGAGTATTTTGTACTTATTTTGAGCCCATGATGCCTTTAAGAGAAATCTCGTTTTTAGAATGAAACAAACTTGTTATGAGATATCTTGTTAAGTTAAATTAACTTGCTGCACGGACAGATAATTTCACTAGTATTGAGCTACTTTGTGCTTGAATTCATCCTTTTTTTCCTTACATTGTTAAACAGACACCATCTGTGTTCACCTTCTCTACCCAGACGTGACTCACTTTAACAGAGAAGATGATTTCAACCACTCATGCTTAAAAAGTGAAGTTGAATACTCTAGAAATGCAAAATCTAAGCGGTTCTGAGCAAGAGAAATGCTCAGTAACGGTCAGATGATGTCAGAACTGTTTGTTATTAAATGTTATGTCTCTAACGGCTCGTTCTAATGAGCGGTTTTGCAGAAAAGCATCTTCTAAACGGATAAATGTTAAATGATAAATGTTAATGCATCTTTACCTCTGAGAGACTGTAACTCTTTACACCTCCTCCTCCAGCTGCAGAGTTTTAGAGCTTTAATGGCCCCTTTCTCAGCCATCAGACTCATGAAATATTTAACAAATCAGCTCTTTTGTGGTCCAGATATTGATTTATCAGCGTATTGACGGTGGTTGTCAAGTCAAGTCAAGTCAAGTAGGCTTTATGGTCAATTTCTTTACATGCGTTGGTCATCAGAATCAGAATCAGAATCAGAATAAGGTTTATTGCCAAGTAGGTTTTCAGACTTACAAGGAATTTGCCTTGGTGTTGGGTGCACAACACAACCCTTCTATGAGAAGCAAGAATAAAATGTAGAAATACAAATATAGGACAGAATGATAAAACTGAAAAATACAAAGAATCGAAATTTGGTTTCTTGCTCTCCCGTGCAGACATAGACATAAATGAGATAAGTTAGATAAATTAGACATATAATAAGAAAATTGTGTGATGTAATAAATAAAAAAGCCTTTTTGGAAAAGTGTTGAAAATGGAGACCCAGAAAAAGAAAAGGAGAGTTTTTCTTTGCCTATTTGAGCGATGTGCAGAGAAAAGATGTGAAACCAGGCTGATAAGTATTCAGATCTTGTCTAGACTGCATCAGGAAAGGCAACACTCCTCCTCCTCCTC